ACCCTAAAATATATACAGATGGATGGATGGATGGATGTGTATAGATGTGTGTGTGTGTGTGTGTGTGTGTGTGTGTGTGTAGATATGTGTATGTACACACACACACACCCCCCTCTACCTTTACCCCCTATCTTGTGACCGGTCCAGCTCACTTGTCAAGCCCCAGAACACATACACAACTACAGCATCAAATTCCCTCACAATAACAGCAAGCACACGCTCATCCGTATCTCCTTACCCGTTACAGTGGACACACAAGCATATTGCCCCCCTGAACAGAGAGGCTCTTGCTTTCCCAGGAAAGCCCCTTGACAGATACCACAGTCTCCTCCGTGGACAGCCCCAAGGCCAGGGCTGGTGAGCAGGACACGGGGACCTCTTAGCTTCCCGCCACCCTGGTGAGGGGGTGGTGGGTTAGAGCTGCCCCCTTTCCCCCCTTAGACTTAGTTTAAAAGCAAGTGAAAGGAGCACTAGGTGTAGCCCTACAATTCGTTTCCTTTATGCTTGTGCCCCTCTCGGAAGAAATGGTGCTGCTGCTTTGGTGCGGAAAGGAGGAGGGGAGGGAAGTGGTGTGAGCAAACATACCTTTTTTATCTCCCTTTTTAGTTTTCTTTGAAATCACATGAGAACAGTGCATGGGTGTGTCCCCAGTTTAGGTTTCTTCACCAATCCCTGTGTGCTTGCCTCAGTGCAAGAGATTTTGTTCAGACTCTCTCTCACCTCTGGTTTCGGTGCAGAGGCCGCAGCATAAGCCAAGGAGTCGGAAATGGGGTATGTTGGGGTGGTAAGGTGGTGCGGGGGGGAGCAGTGGGAAGAGCTGAGATCTCCTGTGCTGTCCCAGAAAGCTGTGGCTGAAATCATGGACACCATTCCCCAGGTGGTGTTTCAGAAGCAAACTTCCTAAATAAAAGACATTTCCAAATAAAACAATTAGGAACTGGCTTTAAAATGCAGGAGGGTGGGACAAGAGGTTTTCCTTCATCCCATGGGCATTTTTGAGATTTAAAATTTTTGCAGGCCCCTGTCAGCCCATCTAGTTGGGGCTGGTCCTGCTTTGAGCAGGGGGTTAGACATGGCCTTCTGAGGTCCCTTCAACCCTCATTTTCTCTGATTATATATGGTGAGAGCTTCCAAGTCTCTGCGCCACTGCCACCCATGACTGAGGCACCCGCCTGACTTGTCATCTTTCCTATACCTGGTTCAGATCAAGAATTCATGCCGAAATCTCATGTGTCCCATGTAAATAATTAACCGAAGCCCTGTACTCATTGGAGCATCCCTCTTTGGCCGCGACCTTGAAATTCCAGCCTCGATCTCAGAAACCTTTCCCTGCCCATTGAAAATTGTCATCAAAACTGGCGTGTTTCTGTGGAATTTTAAATCAAATTTTAGGGTTGGGGAAAGAGCTGTGGGTTTGCACTTGCCTGTTGTGCTGGCTCTGGGCTCTGACCTGTGTAGGTGTCACTAGGATTAGACCTTGGCATTGCCTGGGAAGAGCAATTACTCACTCATTGGGTTTCTGACCTTTAATGCCTAGGAGGAAACTTGTCTCTGTGTCAGACAAGTCAGGGTGTACAGACGCCCTGCCCAATTTTGGGGCTGGCACGGGGCCCTGATGCCAATATGAATGAGAGCAGTGTTGGGCTCCATGCTGGTTCCAGCGAGCCGTGCAACTTCCTGCACCAGGGCCACTTTTTTGTGGCTGTGTTTTAAAAAACCCAAAGCCCCCTCCCAGGAATTGTCACTGGATTCCTCGATGTCTCAGGCTTGTCTCCAGCTGATGTGCACCCTCTGGGACTCCTCCTTTGCTTTCCTGCACCGGGTTTGGTCTGCTCCAGCAGCAAGAAGCCAAGGCAAATACATTGCCGGGTGAGCACGGTGCTGTGTAAGGCAGCTGCTGGGGTTGTGCAGAGAGGTCGGGCTGGGCTTTGTGCTCCGTTCTGGTGTCCTCCACCATCTCCAAATGCAGGTGGTCGACGAGACAGGAACATTTTCTATGATTCTGTGACTTGTCCTCACAGCAGTCCCCTGACATCCTAAAACAAATGTACAACCAAGAGCTTTAAAACCTGCAACTATATAGACAAGTGCCCAGTCCTCTGTTGCCGCCTCCTTTCTGCCATCAGTAGCCACCTGTACCCTGCTCCATGCTTTTCACCACCCTATGCACAGAGCCCTACCCAGGCAAAACTTGCCCCAGCAGATAGTCTCATTAATAGGCATCGGGGATCCCTGCGACAGTGTGGATTTGCTGGATAGGATCCTCTAAGGTGGACTCACACCAGCCTCCAAATGCATTGGCTTTTGGTGTTTCCTGAGCAAGGAGCTGGCCTTTTACCGGCCCCATTCAGTGCCCTGTATTGTAGCGAGAGAGGAAACGCCTTGAAGAGGAAAGGGTTTCCTTCAGACTTCCTCTTTGGAAGTAATTTTGGATGCCACGTGCTGCTTCTGCCCTCCGAGACTTGCACAAGTCTCTGTTTTTGCCAAGAAAGTTCATCGGCGTTGGAACAAAGAGTCTGTTTTTCCACTCTTTTTTTTTTTTCCCCTCGCCTGCCGTACGTATGCTCATAGCAGCCTTAAGCAAGAGTTTCTTGGGTTTTTTAATTAATTTGTAACCGAGGCCAAATTAGCCAAAACTAATTCCAAATGCAAGAGTCCAGAACCATAGGTCGCCCTACTACCAGCAACCATCCTCCACTAGCACCTGGGGCTTCAGATGTTTGCAAAACCTTTGGCAGGCATCCTACTTGCAGGCCCCAGCCCAGAGGCTTGGGGTTTGGATACCCCCAAGTTTTGCATGCCCTCAGCTGTACGGCCCTCGGAGCAAGCCAGGGACAGCAGCCTGAAGCAAGAGTGGATTCACCCCTTGAGGATGAAGTGCTGTAACCGAGCCATCCAGCCTCTGAGTCTCCACCTTCCCCCCTCACTCTGCCAACACATCTGTGTCCACGCAAGGGGCAGAAAGATCTCGTGCTTGTGCAGTGAAAGGAAATCTCCTGGATCCTGTGAGGTCTGATCCTGAACATGCACGGACCAGCGGTGGTTAACTCCTTCCCTGCCTAGGACCTAAGCACACAAAATTCGAGAAACAAGGGATGGGGACATTCAAGGGTTTGCCCCCTCTCGAGAAAAGAAGGGGCAGCAGAGGGTGCGTGTATATGTGCAGAGTATTATAAAGTCCCTCATGCCCCAACATGCAATTATTCTCATAGGGGGCTGTATATCGAATTAAAAATACACTACCGCTTCGTTATAACAAACCTCGGCCTCTAATAGTCCGAACAGCAGGAACCAATTTTGTTACGATGGCAAGGCAGCCAACAGAGTAAGTATAGCCAACACCCTGTTTGAATGAACTTTTCTGCTGGTCCGCAGGGGGTTCATGATAACGAGGCTGAACCATACCATACGTGTACCATGCAAGTCACATAGCTGGCTTATGCGGAGGAGAAGAGCTTACTACTGCTGCCAGGTACTGGGGTTACTCCTTTAGATCAAGGAGCAGAGTCTGTGCTTTAGGTGCTGCTGCTCAACCCACCGCTGTTGACTGCCTGCAGTGGTTTCCAACCATCTAACACTGCCCACAAGGCCCTTCGCGATATGCACGCCCATAAAGGGGTTAAACCCTTGGGACCAGTGTCCTCACTATATAGGAGGATCGCCGGAGGGGAGCTTGTCTTGAGATGTACTCCAGAGGGTCTCAAACCTTGGAGACCCTCTGTAGAGGGCTTGCTCGTGTCCTGTAGAGAGGTGGCTAGTCCCTTCCATGTCCCAGTTACTTCTGCAGGTGCCCACAGCCTTTTTATTGGGGTAAGTGCAGCCTAGAGGTGCATAGAAGTAACCCGAAGCAGACACCATTTCCTTGCTTGTCTTAGCAGGTTGCTGTTAAACGAAAGAGCAAGGCTCTGGCAATCTCACTCGAGGCCAACTGACTATAACTCTTAGTCCTTCGCAAACCTAGTCACTGTCTGTCCAGCTCGCCGAGTCTTGATTCTTTAGTAGCTGTTGTCCCAACAGCAACGGGGCGATGCTGTCCCGCGTGGCTATTCACACAGCAAAACAGGGGTGTCCGGGGATCCCAGGGGTCTGCAAGGCGTCTGGAAGGAGCAGGGGGATACTGGAGAGATGGGAAGCCTGGACACTGATATAGGGTCACAGGAAGGGAGGGGATGTGACTAGGAAGCTGGGCAAGCATGTGCAGGGAACAGGCACAGGGAAGTGAAAGCGAGACCAAGGGGCAGAAACGGGAAGGAAGAAAGATTGAATAGGCAGAACCAGCGGGAAAGGACCTGGGCCGGCCAGAGCCAGGCATCTGCAACACAATGGGCAGTGCTCATCTCTCAGGACCAGGCCCCCAGAAGGTGAAAGCGGAGGAGGAAAACCAAAGTGAGAAAAACACCTGGGAAGAGGAGTGCAGGTTCGGTTCTGGGTGGTGTCACTGCACCGGCTGGAGGAAGGGTCCCGGGATCTTCCTGCCTCCAAGACGGAAAGGGACTCGCCCTTCCAACGAGAATAGAAATGACTAAACGGCTCGGGCCAGCGTTCCCCCTCCACCTGCTCCCACCTAAGCTAGGCCCAGCGGCTTTAGAAAAAGTGTAGAAATGTGCTTTTTTTTTTAAAGAGAAATCTGTCTCCAGCAAAAGCATCCAGGCTTGACCACCTAAAAAAACAAATCTTTTGGCTTTTCAACAATCGAAAGCTTTGGGTTTTCATTTCATTCAAAGAAACAACCACCAGAAAATACGAGAAAGAGTTGAGGGGAAATATTTCATTTGTATGGTATTTTTCTTCTGCTGGTGAGGAAAAGAAAATCATTGCCCAGCCAAATCTTTTGATGCATCTGCATTTTCAGTTTTCTGTCAAGGTTGCACCTACGTAGCAACTGGTTGGAAACATGATGGAAAAAGGAAGAGAGGAACACTTGTGATCAGTCTGAGTAACATTTTCCTGGATATGGATATAGCTTTTGACTGCTTCTCAGAATAGGCTGTATACAGGAGGTGTTACCAGAAATAACACGCTGTTGGTGAACCTGGTCTGCGGGTGCCCTCTCCTGGCACTAGTCAAGTGAAGCACTTCTCACTGCTAGGATTTCTTTTCCAGATGCCCCTGAAGGAGGCAAGACCTGCGCTCTGCATTTCTATAACACTTGTGCTGTGCAAACCATTCATGAATCATTGAGGGTCCCAGCTCTCTGCTCTCACCCCCACTTCATAGATGAATCAAGTCAGACACCAAGAGGTTCACTGATGCATCTAGATTTTCGTACTCAGGGAATGGTAGAGCTGGGAACAGAAAAACCCCACGCCACTGTCAACCGCTGCTTGTCAGCAAAATTAAACAAATCAGCAAAATTAAATAAATGCATTGTTTATTATACTAGGAATTAATCTGGGGTGCACTCAGTGCCAAACTTTGATAGCCGCCTTTTTTTTTCATTTGGTCTGTGGTAGCATCTCAGCCCTGGGCAGACCCCACAGTGCTAGTTGCTGCATAAATTGTTCCTGCCCTGATGAACTTACAGTCTCAACAGACAGACAGACAGCATGGCTGTTTTGGGGGTGAATGCTTTGCACAAGGTCACCGTAGTGGGTGAGTGGGAGAGACTTGGTCTGCACGGATCTCTTTATCCAGGTCTTCTTACCAAAAAACCTGAACCTATCTAATCACAAACAAGGCACCTTGCCCAAATGACCCCTTCCAGGTGATGATCACAGGTGGAACAGATTTTCCACGCTTGCCTCCTCCTTTTTCCTCTGCTGGGATTCAAGGCAAGCTTCTTCCACCGTGACTGAAAGGCAGCCGTGTTCTGTGGGTTCAGAAAATATTCGGGGTTGATGATGTGCAGCAGTTGGCCTGGGGAACCTTTCCTTGGAGCAAAAGTGCAAAGACTTACGCTA